CCCCCCAGATCCCATCAGCCCCCAAATCCCAGCATCCCCCCAGATCCCATCAGCCCCCAAATCCCAGCATCCCCCCAAATCCCATCAGCCCCCAAATCCCAGCATCCCCCCAAAACACTTCATTCCCCCTCAAATCACATCACCCAAAACCTCAGGATTTATCCCCCCAAATCCCAGCATCCCCCAAAATCCAGCACAACCCCCAAAAGTGCATCATTCCCCCCAAAGCACATTGATCCCAAAAGTGCATCCCATCACCCCCAAACCTGGGATTTACATCCCAAATCCCAGCATCGCTCCCCTAAAAAGCATCACCCCCAAACCCATCACCACCCCAAAAAAGTGCATCCCATCACCTCAAAACCCAGGATTTATCTCCCAGATCCCAGCATCACCCCCCCAAAAGCATCACCCCCAAAGTCCAGCATCCCCCAAAACACAGCACCCCCCACAAACTTCATCATCCCCCCTAAATCCCATCAGCCCCCAAATCCCAGCATCCCCCCAGATCACTTCATTCCCCCTCAAATCACATCACCCAAAACCTCAGGATTTATCCCCCCAAATCCCAGCATCACTCCCCTAAAAAGCATCACCCCCAAACCCATCAGCACCCCAAAAAAGTGCATCCAATCACCTCAAAACCTCAGGATTTACGCTCCCAAATCCCAGCATCACCCCCCCAAAAGCATCACCCCCAAAGTCCAGCATCCCTCAAAACACAGTACCCCCCACAAACTTCATCATCCCCCCCAAATCCCATCAGCCCCCAAATCCCATCAGCCCCCAAATCCCATCAGCCCCCAAATCCCATCAGCCCCCAAATCCCAGCATCCCCCAAATCCCAGTATCCCCCCAAAACACTTCATTCCCCCTCAAATCACATCACCCAAACCCTCAGGATTTACCCCCCAAATCCCAGCATCACCCCCAAAATCCAGCACAACCCCCAAAAGGGCATTGTTCCCCCCCAAAGCACATCAGCCCCAAAAGTGCATCCCATCACCCCCAAAGACAGGATTTATCCCCCCAAATCCCAGCTTCACTCCCCTAAAAAGCATCACCCCCAAACCCATCACCACCCCAAAAAAGTGCATCCCATCACCCCAAAACCTCAGGATTTACACCCCCAGATCCCAGCATCACTCCCCTACAAAGCATCCCCCCCAAAGTCCGGCATCCCCCAAATCACAGCACCCCCCCAAAGTGCATCACCCCCCCTAAAGTGCCCCCCTGCCCCCCAAAAGTGCCCCCGGCCCCCGTGCCCACCTTGTCCCCGCAGACCCGCAGCAGCCTCAGCACCTCGGCCAGGAACGCCGGAGTTTTGTCCGCCTGGATGTTCTCCGGGTTCCTGGGAAGGAAAACGTCGGGAGCGGGGGATTCCCCGCGGGAGGGGCTTTGGGAGGGGGGCAGATGGGAAAATTTCGGGGGGCAGATGGGATTTGGGGGGGTAAATAACGTGTTTCTCGGGGTAAACGCCGTGTTTTGGGGCGGGGCGATGCACTTTTCTGGGGGGATTCGACACTTTGGAGGGAGGGGAGCGATGGGATTTTGGGGGGGAATGCTGGGATTTGGGCGGGATGCTGGGATTTGGGGGGATGCTGGGATTTGGGGGGGGATGCTGGGATTTGGGGGGGGATGCCGGGATTTGGGGGGAATGCTGGGATTTGGGGGGAATGCTGGGATTTGGGGGGATGCTGGGATTTGGGGGGGATGCTGGGATTTGGGGGGGATGCTGGCATTTCATGGGGATCCCAAAGTCACAAACTGCCATTTGGGGGGTAAATGCTGTGTTTTGGGGTGACGTGAGAGGCTTCGGGGGGTTCCTGTGTTTTGGGGGCTCATGACCCGCCCTTGGGGGGTGCTGTGTTTTGGGGGGTGCTGGACTTTGGGGGGATGCTGTTATTTGGGGTATTTTTGGTGTAAGGGGGATGCACTGTAGGGGGGGATTGAAGCACTTTTGGGGGGAGTGACATGATGTGGGGGGGGTAAATCCTGGGGTTTGGGGTGAGAGTATGGCATTTTAGTGGGGGTGCTGCACTTTTGGGAGGGGTGACATGAGTTGGGGGGTAAATCAGATCCTGTCCTTGATCTGATGCACTTTAGGGGGTTGATGATGCACTTTTGGGGAGGGTGACATGATTTGGGGGGGGTAAATCCTGTGGTTTAGGGTGATGGGATGCACTTTAGGGGGGGGATGATGCCCTTTTTGGGGGGTTGATGAACTTTAGGGGGACGATGATGCACTTTGGGAGGGGTGACATGATTTTGGGGGTGTAAATCCCGTGTTTTGGGGTGATGGGATGCACTTCGGGGGGGGATGATGTAATTTTTGGGGGAGGAATGTTGTATTTTGGGATTTCCTGGGGGGAGGGTGATGCACCTCAGGAAAGGACCCTGTTGTTTTTTGGGATGCTGTGTTTTTTGGGATGCTGTGCTTTTTGGGATGCCGTGCTTTTTGGGATGCCGTGCTTTTTGGGATGCCGTGTTTTTTGGGAGCAGGGTGTGCATCCCACAGGACACCACGATGCTTTGGGACCAGTTTGGGACCAGTTTGGTCCCTTCAAAGAGGGGGTTCTTCCCTTTTGGGGGGGGCACAGGACCAAGAGCTGGGGGGTCCCCTCAACGCCCGTGGGGCTGCCCCGGATCCTGCTGCTCCGGGATGGGAACGGGAATGACTGGAATGAGAACGGGAGGCTGGAGGGGGCGATGGGGGGGGTCGGGGTGACCTCGGGGGGGGGTCACCCACCTGCAGATGATGCTGAAGAACTTGAGGAGCAGCAGGGCCTGGCCCAGCCCGGCCCCCCCGCCCTCCTCCCGCGGGATCAGGGCCACGCTCTGGCCCAGCCTCTGGATCAGCACCTGGAGCACTTCCCGAGGGAGCACCGGGATCTCCGACACCGCCTCCTCCGGCCTGGGGGGGGGCACAGGATGTGACCCCCCGGCCCCCCCGGCCCCCCCCCGGCCCACACCGGATGGGGGAAACCACCGGGGGCGGAGGAGCCGGGACAGGACGAGCCCAAATTTGGCAAAGCCCGAATTTAGGGTGAGTGACACCGAGTGACAGCACCCCCCCCACACAGGGTGTCACGCACACAGCACCCAGGGGTGCCGGGGGGGGGTCACTGGGGGGCTCTGGAGGGCGTTGGGAGGGGGGTGGTGTCACCCAGGGACGGCTGAGGTGCTTGGGAGTGTCACCCGGGGGTCCTGGGGGGCAGGGAGGGGTGCTGGGGGGTCTCTCAGGGGTCCTGGGGGGTCCCCTCAGTGGCACTGGGGGGTGTCACCCAGGGGTGCAGGGAGGGGTTCCCTCAGGGGTCCTGGGGGTCACCCAGGGGTCCTGGGGGGGTCACTCAGGGGTCCTGGGGGGGTCACTCAGGGGTCCTGGGGGGGTCACTCAGGGGTCCTGGGGGGGTCACTCAGGGGTGCTGGGGGGTCACTCAGGGGTCCTGGGGGGGTCACCCAAGGGTGCTGGGAGGAGTCACTCAGGGGTGCCGGGAGGGGTGTCCATCAGGGGTGATGGAGGGGGGTCACCCAGGGGTGTGTCAAGCAGGGATGTTGGGGGTCCCCCAGGGGTGCTGGGAGTCATGCAGGGATGTTGGGGGTCCCTCAGAGGTTATGGGAGGGGTCACCTGGGGTGACTGGGGGCTCCTTCAAGAGGGCTGGGGGGTGTCACCCAGGGATGTTCGGGGTCCCTCAGGGGTCCTGGGGCGTCCCCCCGGGTGCTGGGGGTCCCTGACCTGCGGGGCTCCAGCGAGGGCAGGGTGATGACCCTCTCGAAGCTCATGACGAAGTTCTCCAGCCACTGCTGCAGGTACGACACGTCCTTCTGCGGGGCAGGGAGGGGCTGCAGCCACCGGCCAGTCACAGACCACCCTGAGCCCCGCCCAGGCCAATCACAGGCCACCTCGAGCCCCACCCTGCATCCATCAGCCAATCAGCAGCCAGAGAAATCAAGCCACGCCCCCTCAGGAGCAGCTGGCCAATAGGGGCCAGGGTGTGACCACACCGCTGGGAGCCACCAACCAATCAGAGCCCAGAGCAGCACAACCTGTGGACTCACTGACCAATCAGCATCCAGAGCCACACAACCTGTGGGAGCTTGCTGACCAATCAGCGCAAACTGTGGGAACTTGTTGACCAATCAGAGCCCAGACCAGCAGAACCTGTAGAGCTCCTGACCAATCAGAGCCCAGAGCCACACAACCTGCGCAGACGTTGAACCAATCAGAACCCAGAGTAAGAACAACCTGTGGACTTGCCGACCAATCAGGTGCCAGAGCAGCACAACCTGTGGGGCTCTTGTCCAATCAGCATTGAGAGCAGCACAACCTGTGGACTCGCTGACCAATCAGCTCACAGAGCACCTGCCCCCTAAATGCAGAACCAGCCAATCAGGGCAGAGCCTCCCCCCCCCAACACCACCCGAGGTTGTGCAACAAATGGTGACAGTGGTGACATCGGTGACACGGGGACGTCAGCGACTCACCCCGGGCTGGGCACCCCCACCCAGAGCACCCTGGGGTCACCACGGCCCTGAGCACCCCAAAGGGGCACCTTGGGGTCACTCACACCCCCAAAAACCCCAAAGCAGCACCGTGGGGTCACCACGGCCCTGAGCACCCCAAAGGGGCACCTTGGGGTCACTCACACCCCCAAAAACCCCAAAGCAGCACCGTGGGGTCACTCACCCCCCCAAAAACCCCAAAGCAGCACCGTGGGGTCACTCATGTCCCCGAACACCCCAAAGCAGCACCTTGGGGTCACTCACATCCCCAAAAACCCCAAAGCAGCACCCTGGGGTCACCACAGCCCCAAAAACCCCAAAGCAGCACCCTGGGGTCACTCACGTCCCCGAACACTCCAAGGTGGCACCATCAGCACCTGAGCACCCCAACACATCAACCTGGGGTGACCCTCAGCCCTGAGCACCCCAAGGGGACACCACGGGGTCACCCCCGGCCTTGTGCATCCCAGTGTGGCACCTTGGGGTCACTCACGTCTCCAGCAACCCCAAAGCAGCACCCTGGGGTCACCCACAGCCCTGAGCACCTCAGGACATCAACTTGGGTTCACCCACAGCCCTGAGCACCCCAATGTGACACCTTGGGGTCAGCCATGTCCCTGAGCACCCCAATATAACACCTTGGGGTCAGCCATGTCCCTGAGCACCCCAAAGCAGCGCCCTAGGGTCACCCATGTCCCTGAGCATCCCAGTATGATGCCTTGGGGTCACCCATGTCCCTGAGCACCCCAATACGACACCTTGGGGTCACCCACAGCCCTGAACACCCCACTGTGACACCTTGGGGTCCCCCACGCAGCACCCTGGGGTGTCCCCACCCGGCAGGGACCGTCTCCCCTTCGGGACATCCCTCTTCCCACGAGGACCAGCCCCCCGGCTCCCAACTTCCCGGGCACGGAATGCCCCCCATCCCTCCCCCAGCCACCTCCTCGCCAGAGGGGACCGCGAGGGGCCCCCCAAACCCCACCCCAACCCCGTCACCGCCCGTTTCCCCCCCCAAAAGCCCGCCTCCCCCCCCCAACCTGCCGCTCCCCCCCGAGCGCCGCATCCCCGGGGATGCTCCCGGTACCTGCCCCCGGGGGTGCTCGGTGCCCTCCATGCCCCGGGCGCTGCCGGCACGGCCGGAACAGGGCCGGGGGAGGAGCTTGGGGTGTTATTGTAGGGCCCCCCCGTTTTGTCGCCGCTGCCGCTTGTGCAAAGCCACCAAAAATAAAAAAAAAAAAAAAAAAATTCCCCAGATCGTCAGGAAGTGCCACGTCACCCGCTGCCCCAACGGCGCTTCCTCCGCCCGCTCCGGGGCACCGGGAACCGGGGGGACACGGGGGGTACAGCCGTGGGACAGTGAGGGGACCCCCATTGCCCACCCGGGCCGTGCCCCAGGGCCTGCTGCGGCCGCGAGGGGCGACGGCATCGCCAGGACGCCGGCACAGGGGGGTTTATCCCGGTATTCCCCGGGAATAGAACCCCAATCCCGCCCTCACCGCACCGCGGAGCTGGGAAGTGCAGGAGTGATGAGTTCGCCAGTTCTCAGCACCACGATGTTCCCGGAGCGCCAGTCTGGAGCCGACGTCCCAAAATTCCCTGAGCGTCCACCCGGAGCCGGTGTCCCCAATTCCCTGGGCACTCACCCAGGGCCGGTTTCCCGAATTCCCTGAGCACCCACCCGGACCTGACATCCCAAAATCCCTGTTCACCCACCCGGAGCTGACATCCCAAAATTCCCTGAGCACTCATCCAGAGCCAGTATCCCAAGTTCCCTGTGCACTCACCCACAGCCGGCGGCCAAATTCCCTGAGCACCCACCTGGACCTGACATCCCAAAATTCCCTGGGCACCCACCCAGAGCCAGCTTCCCAAAATTCCCTCCCACCCGGAGCTGACATCCCAAAATTCCATGTGGCTGCGAGGGGCGATGGCATCGCCACAACGCCGGCACAGGGTGGTTTATCCCGGTATTCCCTGGGAATAGAAGCCCAATCCCGCCCTCCCCACACTGCACAGTGATGAGTTTGCCAGTTCTCAGCACCACGATGCTCCCGGAGCTGATATCCCAAAATTCCCTGAGCATCCACCTGGAGCTGGTGTCCCAAAATTCCCTGAGCATCCACCTGGAGCTGGTGTCCCAAAATTCCCTGAGCATCCACCTGGAGCTGGTGTCCCAAAATTCCCTGTGCACCCACCTGGAATTGGTGTCCCAAGTTCCCCGAGCATGCCTCTGGAGCTCACATCCCAAAATTCCCTGAGCGCCCACCCGGAGCCGGTGACCCCAGATTCCCTGAGCACTCATCCAGAGCCAGTATCCCAAGTTCCCTGAGCACTCATCCAGAGCCGGTGGCCAAATTTCCTGAGAACCCACCCAGAGTTGGTGTCCCAAATTCCCTGTGCCCCCACCCGGAGCTGACATCCCAAAATTCCCTAAGAACCCACCCAGAGCTGACATCCCAAGATTCCATGTGGCACGAGGGACGATGGCACTGCCACAACGCTGGCACATGGCAGTGACCAGGTTGGTTTATCCCGGTGTTCCTTGGGAATAGAACCCCAATCCTGCCCTCACCACACCATGGAGCTGGGAAGTGTACAAGTGATGAGTCTGCCAGTTCTCAGCACCACGATGTTCCCTGAGCGCCCGTCTGGAGCTGACATCCCAAAATTCCCTGGGCAGCCACCCAGCGCTGACATCCCAAAATTCCATGTGGTCGCGAGGGGCGATGGCATCGCCAGGACGCCGGCACAGGGTGGTTTATCCCGGTATTCCCTGGGAATAGAAGCCCAATCCCGCCCTCCCCGCACCGTGCAGTGACGAGTTTGCCAGTTCTCAGCACCACGATGCTCCCGCAGCACCCACCCGGAGCTGAGATCCCAAAATTCCCTGAGCGCCCACCTGGAGCTGGTGTCCCAAAATTCCCTGTGCACTCACCTGGAATTGGTGTCCCAAGTTCCCCGAGCATGCCTCTGGAGCTCACATCCCAAAATTCCCTGAGCACCCACCTGGAGCCGGTGGCCAAATTCCCTGAGAACCCACCCAGAGTTGGTGTCCCAAATTCCCTGTGCCCCCACCCGGAGCTGACATCCCAAGATTTCATGTGGCACGAGGGGCGATGGCACTGCCACGACGCTGGCACATGGCAGTGACCAGGTTGGTTTATCCCGATATTCCCCGGGAATAGAACCCCAATCCTGCCCTCCCCAACCACGCAGTGATGAGTTTGCCAGTTCTCAGCACCACAATATTCCCTGAGCGCCCACCTGGAGCTGACATCCCAAAATTCCCCGAGCACCCACCTGGAGCCGGTGTCCCAAGATTCCCGGTGTCCCAAGATTCCCGGTGCCCGCCCCGTCCCCGCGGGTGCCCGTGCCAGCCGTCGGTGCCTGTCCCAGCCGGTCCCGGCTGGCAGAGCCTGTTGGGTGGCTTTGGCTGTTCCAGCGCGGAGCCGCCTGGGAATGCCGGGCCGGGAATGCCGGGCCGGGAATGCCGGGAGCAACGGAGCGGCACCCCCCCCCCCCCCCCCCCCCCCCCCACCCCCCCCCCCCCCCCCCCCCCCCCCCCCCCCCCCCCACCACCCCCCCACCCACCCGCCCCCCCCCCACCCCCCCCACCCCCCCCCCCCCACCCCCCCCCAACACCGCCCGGAACGGGGCCGGGGACAAAGTCACCGCATTGTCACCTCCCCGCCACCGAGGGTCGCGGGGTCACAGCGGGGGGATCACATTCCTGCCATCCCATCTGGGGGGTGGGACAACGCGGTTGGCACGGCCCCGCCGTGGCAGAGCCACCCCTGGGGACATCCCTGTCCCTGCCAGCACCGGGGACATCCCTGTCCCTGCCAGCACCGGGGACATCGCTGTCCCTGCCACCCCTGGGGACATCCCTGTCCCTGCCACCCCTGGGGACATCCCTGTCCCTGCCACCCCTGGGGACATCCCCGCCCCTGCCACCCCTGGGGTCATCCCTGCCCCTGCCAGCACGGGGGACATCGCTGTCCCTGCCACCCCTGCGGTCATCCCTGCCCCTGCCAGCACCGGGGACATCCCCGCCCCTGCCACCCCCGGGGCCACGCGCTGTGTCCCGTTTTGAAGCCACAGAGATAACGTGGCCGTTCCCGGAGCGCTGCCCTCCTCCGGTGTCACCAGCCGGGGAGGGGACAGTGACAGGGGCGCTGCCATCGAGGTGGCACTGCCACCGAGGTGACACTCCAGCCTCGTCCTCTCCAGGGGCTTGGGGACATCACCACGGCGAAGGCCAGAGGGTTTTGCTGTGTGACAGGGGGGTGACACCGAGGTCCTGCCTTGTCCCCGGTGCCCCTCAGAGGTGGCACGGCCACCCCGTGGAGTGGGCACACCCTGACAGGTGGCACCTCTCCCTGTGCCACCACACACACCCGAGGGAGTGCCACCCACAGACATCTGTGTCCCCTGTGTGACCACACACACCTGAGGGAGTGGCACCTGCCCCCACAGGACCAGGGACACCTGAGGGAGTGGCACCTGTCCCCACAGGACCACAAACACTTGATGGAGTGGCACCTGTCCCCACAGGACCAGGGACCCCTTGAAGGGGTGGCACCTGTCCCCCTGCGATCACCACACTTTGCTGGCAGGACACGCGTCCCTGTAAGACCACGGACACCTCAGTGGGGTGGCCCCTGTCCCTGTATGGCCACAGACACCCCAAGGTAGTGGCCCCTGTCCCTGTATGGCCACAGACACCTTGACATGGTGGCACCTGTCCCCACACAGCCAAAGACACCCCAACACTGTGGCACCTGTCCCTGTGTGACCATGGCCACCACAATGGTGTGGCCCCTGTCCCTGTATGGCCACGGACACCCCAAGGTCGTGGCACCCGTGCCCACACAACCCCAGGCACCTCAATAGTGTGGCACGTGTGCCCCATACAACCAGGGACACCCGGACAGTGCGGCACCTGTCCCCATATGGCCAGACACCCCAGGATAGTGGCACCTGGCCCCACACAACCACAGACACCTCGATGGCATGGCCCATGGCCCCACACAACCACAGACACCTCGATGGCACGGCCCATGGCCCCACACAACCACAGACACCTCGATGCTGTGGGACCTGGCCCCACACAACTGTGGACACCTGGACAGTGTGGCACCTGTCCCCATATGACCAGGGACACCTGATGGAGTGGCCCCTGTCCCCATATGACCAGGGACACCTGGACAGTGTGGCACCTGTCCCCATATGACCAGGGACACCTGATGGAGTGGCCCCTGTCCCCATATGACCAGGGACACCTGGACAGTGTGGCACCTGACCCCTCATGACCTTACAGCTCATGACAGGTGTAGTGGCCCCCATCCCCACAGAGCCACGAGCCCCTCCAAGGTGTGCCACACGTCCCCACATGGCCACAGACACCCCTGCAGCGTGACAGGTGTCCCCATAGGAGTGTGGTTATGACAATGGTGTGGTATGTGTCCCCATATGGCCACAGGCACCCCAATGTAGTGACCCCTGTCCCCACACAATCACAGACAGCTCAACAGAGTGACACCTGTCCCCACATGACCATGGACACCCCAATGCAGTGGCCCCTGTCCCCATAAAATCACAGACACCTCAATGTAGTGGCACCTGTCCCTGTAGGACCAAACACACCACAATGGTGTGCCACTTGTCCCCATGTGACCAAGGACACCCCAACGTAGTGGCCCCTGTCCCCATAAAATCACAGACACCACAATGCAGTGGCACCTGTCCCTGTGTGACCATGGCCACCACAATGGCATGGCACCTGTCCCCATATGGCCACCACAATGGCATGGCACCTGTCCCCATATGGCCACAGACACCCCGATGTAATGGCACCTGTAGGACCAAGAACACCACAATGCAGTGGCCCCTGTCCCTGTGTGACCATGGCCACCTCAGTGGTGTGGCACCTGTCCCCATATGGCCACAGACACCCCAATGTAATGGCACCTGTAGGACCAAGGTCACCATAATGGTGTGGCATCTGTCCCCACACAATCACAGACACCTCAACAGTGACACCTGTCCCCATATGGCCACAGACACCCCAATGTAGTGGCCCCTGTCCCTGTAGGACCAAGGACACCACAATGGTGTGGCCCCTGTCCCCATATGATCATGGACACCCCAACGTAGTGGCCCCTGTCCCCGTGTGGCCACAGACACCCCAATGCAGTGGCCCCTGTCCCTGTGTGACCATGGTCACCTCAGTGGAGTGGCACCTGTCCCCATATGGCCAAGGACACCCCAACACAGTGGCACCTGTCCCTGTGCCACCAATCCCCCCCGATGTCACAGCCCCTGTCCCTGCACAACCCCAGACGTGTCCCACCAAAGAGGGATGGCTTCGTTTTGGGGTATTTTGGGGTGACTGTTTTGGGGTGGCTCTGTTTTGGGGTGGCTCCCAGGTGACACCAGGTGAGGTGACAGCCCCCACGGGTGTCCCCACCCCCGGCTGGCACTGGGGGTGCCCATCCCTGCACGTCCCGGGGTCACAGCGGGATTTTGGGGCAGGAATAAGCCCTTTCCCCCCCAAACCCCACCTGGTCACCCCAACCCGCGGGCACAGCGGTGGGTGGGGGGGGGGTGACACCGGGAGGGGGGGGTGGTGACACCGGGAGGGGGGGCGGTGACACGGGATCCGCCCCCCGGCCCCGCCCCTCCATCGGGATAATGGGATAATTAAGGAGAAAACACGAGGGAGTCTCGGGGTGGGACCCCGCCAGTGACCCCCCCCCGCGACCCCCGAGGGCAGAGGGAGGGGGTGGCGGTGCCGGGGAGGTTTTTGGGGGGTCCCCAAGCACAGGACACCTCCGCCCCCCCGGAGCCAGGACCCCCCTTGTCCCCACCCTGTCGCCGCTCCAATGTCACCGCGGCCGCACCTGTCGCCGGGCGGTGGCGCAGGGACACGGACACCCCCAAAACCCCCCCAAAAACCTGCCGGGGAGGGCGGGAGGGACCCCCCAAACCTCCCGGGTGGGAATAAGGGACCCCCCGAACCGCCCGGGTGGGTGTTGGAGGGGTGGGGGGACCCCAAACCCCCCCGGGAAAGGTGGGAAAGGAGGGGCGGGATGTGCCGGGGGGGGTGCGGGAGGTTTGGGGACCCCCGGGATATCGGGGGGGGGACACGCGGTGGCACAAGGGGGGGACACGGGGGTGTCGCGGAGCTCGGGGGGGCACGACCCCCGACCGGGGGGGTTCGGGGACCCCCGGGATGTCACAAGGGGGTCCGGGGGGGGGGGGGGGGACCCACATGGATGGGAGGGATATAAGGGTGGGATACACGGAGGGGGGTCCGCGACCCCCCGGGATGCAACATTGGGGTGCAAGGGGGATGACGGGGGGTAAAAAAGGGGGGTCACGGGATGCAGATTGCATCGATGGTGGGGGGCCGGTGCTTGCGCTGCAGCACCCCCAAATAGGGGGGTAGGGGCGGGTGTGGGGGGGACACAGCCAGCGGGGGAGATGGGGGTCCAGGGGTGCCCCCCTCCCCAGCTGCCCCCCGGGAGGGGGGCGCGGTGCCCAGCTCACCTTGGCGAAGTAAAGCATCCAGAGCTCGCAGAGGCGCTCCCGGGAAGCCATGCCGGGCCGGCACGGCTCGGGACGAGCCGCAGCTCCGCCCCAAAACCCCCCTAAACCCCCCCCAGCGCTGGGACCTCCCCCAGGTGTGGGGGGGGGCGGGGACATCACCCCCCCCCCACCTCCACCCCACCCCATCCCCACCCTCCACCTGCCCGGGGCACCCCTTCCCCACCCCTTTTCCCATCCCCGGCCCTCCTTTCTCCTCCCTCTTTCACCTGCCCAAGGTAAAATGGGGCTGGGGGAGGGGAGATAAACCCCCCCTACACCCCCCCATCTCAAATAATTAACCGCCCTAATTAACGCAGCTCAGCCTCGCGCGGGGGGACGCCCTGAACGAACACAGCACGGGCTTATTTTCGCCTTTTAACCCCTTTGTTTTTTTCAGTTTTAAACCTTCATTTCATCGTTTTTCACTCGCCCCCCCCGCCCAGCGCCCCCCCATCCATTGCTCCCCCCACCCATCGATTGCTCCCCCCCGCCCGCTCGATAGTGCAAGCGACGCGCTCGGCTCTCGGCTGGCCGCGCCTGGCGCGCATGCGCGCTGCGCGCTGTACGGAAGGCGGGACGCGTGGGACAAGATGGCGGCGCCCGGTGGAGCCGCGGAGACCCCCGCGGATGGAGAGGGGCTGGTGCTGGGGAGGCTGGAGGAAGAGGCGCTGAAGCGGCGGGAGAGGCTGAAGGCCCTGAGGCAGAGGACGCTGCAGGTCGGGCGGTCTGGGCGGTGGGAGGGCGGTGGGAGGGCGGTAGGAGGGTCTGGAGGGGGCCTGGGGGGAGCACAGAGGGGCCGGGGTGGGCCCTGGGCAGGGGAAAGCTGCTCTGCTTTGCAAGGAATTGTCTTTCCTTCCCCTCTCTCTGCTCCGCTCTTGCGAGATCCCGCCTGGAATGCTGCGTCCAGGGCTGGGCTGCTCAGCACAGGAGGGATGTGGAGCTCTTGGGATGAGTCCAGAGGAGGCCCCGGAGCTGCTGCCAGGGCTGGAGCCCCTCTGCTCTGGAGTCAGGCTGGGAGAGCTGGGGGGGTTCCCCTGGAGAAGAGAAGGCTCCAGGGAGAGCTGAGAACCCCTTGCAGGGCCTAAAGGGGCTCCAGGAGAGCTGGAGAGGGACTGGGGACAAGGGATGGAGGGACAGGACACAGGGAATGGTGCCCGGTGGGGCTGGCACAGAGCAATAGGAAAAGAGGGGCTAAGTCATGGAATCACAGATTTATTTAGGTTGGAAAAGCTTCTGAGATCGAGTCCAACCATTCCCAGCACTGCCAAGGCCACTGCTGACCATGTCCCCAAGTGCCACATCCACAGGGATTTTAAATCCCTCCGGGAATGGAGACTCCACCCCTGCCCTGGGCAGCTGTGCCAGGGCTGGATGTGCCCAAAGCATCTCCTTGGAGGAGCTTTGGAAGCTCCTTCCTTTGGTAGAAGGAGCAGCATCCCAAAAATCCCAAACATCCCAGGGGCTGCCTGAGACTTCAGGAACCTGTGGAGTGGGGGGTGAGGGACAGGGGGAGTGCCACCCATGGATTTCACGGCTCAAATGGGAATAGAGTTGAGGAATTCAGCCTGGAGAAGAGATGAATCCATGGGGAGCTGAGAGCCCCTGGCAGGGCCTGAAGGGGCTCCAGGAGAGCTGGAGAGGGACTGGGGACAAGGCATGGAGGGACAGGACACAGGGAATGGCTTCCCACTGGAAAAGTGGGCAGGGACACCTTCCACTATCCCAGGTTGCTCCAACCTGGCCTTGGACACTTCCAGGGATGGGGCAGCCACAGCTTCCCTGGGAAATCCATTCCAGCCCCTCCCCACCCTCACAGCTGTAATCCCTCCCCAATATTCCATCTAGCCCTGCCCTCAGCCATCCAAGGCTTCCTAAAAACTAGGGATAAAGTGGAATAAGAAAATATTCCGGGAATATTCTTATTTCTCCCATTTCTCCAAACCCTTAGTTAAGGCATCCTGCTCTTCCTGGAGTTTCCAGATCATTCTGGTTCTTGGGATGCACCTGATGCCTAAAGGGTGGCACTTTTTTATTCCCACTGTTCAGGAGAACAACAGGAATTTCCATGGAGAAACTGGTGTGATGTCCTTGCCTGGGTAAAAATCCAGGTTTCCTGGGATTTTGTGCCAACAGAAGGGTTGGAGGCACCAAAAAGAGGGAAAAAGGGGGTTTCTTCCTTCTGCTTGCTCAGATTCCAGGTCAGATTCCCTTGAGGAAGCTCTCCAGAAATATTTAGGAATAAAAAATGATAAGAGAGGATAATAAATAAACCAAGCAAGGAGATTCCTGCTTGGGAATTCCATGAAACCAGCCTGGCAACCAGTGGGAAGCTGCTGGATGAGCTTCTTCTGTCTGGAATCCTTGGATTTCCAAGGGAGTAGAGCAGGTGGTTGTGCCATTGGCTCCTATGGAAATGCTTTTTGTGGGAATATATTCCAGGATTATCCAAACGATCCGAGGGAAAATACATGGATGGATGAGTTCCTGCTTTGAGATCCCTCCTTTTCCTCCCTTGCATCGTTCCCTCGCTTTCTTCCCTTGTTAGGTGGGAAGAAAGTGGTACCTTTTCCTTAATTTAAGGAAAAAATTCCTCACTGTGACAGTATTTAGGATTCACCATCAGGCACATCCTGGATTTTTCCTTTTCCACTTGCCTTTCCTGCCGTTAAATCCTGGGACAAGAGTTGGGTGGCTCAAGGTTCCACTCCGAGGGAATTTCCCAGGAAAAGAGAGAATTTCCCAGGAAAAGCCCTGAGTATTCCTCTCCTTTTAAAATATCTGCTGGCTCAGGGAATGCTGAGAATATTCCAAAAGGATCCATTGGCAAAATCAAGGATCATCGTGTGGGATGTGCAGGGCAGATTCCTTCCTGCATCCCAAACATTCCTCACCCAGCCACAGCTCTTTTCTCCTGCTCTGGCATCCCCCAAATCCTTGAAAAGCAGGAGCATTCCCGTGTTTTTATGGGAAGAGGGGGGTGGGATCTCCCACCTGCTCCTTCATTCCCAGCCCTGCTCCGGCACCGGAGCGTTCCCGGCGTGTTGTTCATCGCGCCGGAAAAGATTCCTTTGGCTGCATCCCAAGCTTTTGTTTCAGGTTGGATTTGCTCCACGGCCACATCCCTGCTCCTCCACACCTTCCCGTGCTGGCAGGAAAAGCAGGAGCGGGAGGAAGGGCAGGCACTGCTCGTTTTTCCCCTCACAATGGAATGTTTTCCCGCCTTTCCGCTCTTTCCCCGCCGGCCCAAAAACTCCGTCGATCCACAAACACCAGTGGGACATTTTTCCAGCTGGGAGCTGCTGTGATCCCTCAGTTTGGCTTCTTGCTGCCCTCAGTTTTCCTTAATTTTTGCTTGGATTTCTTTCATTCCTGCTAAATTCCTGTCTTGGTGGAGCCAAGCACCTCCCGATCCCGAAAGCCAAGTGCCCGGGAAAACAGTTGCTGTGGAAACAGAGTTCAGGGAGTTTATTCCACTGGGGAAAAACACACACTTAGGGCTCCAAAGGATCCACTTCTCTCCAGATTTTAATAGGGAACTCACTCCAGGTCTTATTAGGGAAGTCCCAAAGGATCCCACGCCTGCTCCCGGGGCTGGAGAACCTGCGGACGCAGGGATTGTGCTTCCCACCGGAGCGCTCGCTCCTGTCACCTTGGGAATTGTTCCTGGAGGTTCTGCTCTCCAATTCCAGCCCGGGAATGTTGTTGATTTTGAGATAAGAAGGTCTTTGTTGGCTCAGGTGGGATCCCACCTGGAATGCTGTGCCCAGGGCTGGGTGCTCAGCACGGGAAGGACGTGGAGCTGCTGGAGAGAGTCCAGAGGAGGCCCCGGAGCTGCTCCCAGGGCTGGAGCCCCTCTGCTCTGGAGCCAGGCTGGGAGAGCTGGGGGGGTTCCCCTGGAGAAGAGAAGGCTCCAGGGAGAGCTGAGAGCCCCTGGCAGGGCCTGAAGGGGTTCCAGGAGAGCTGGAGAGGGACTGGGGACAAGGGATGGAGGTACAGGACACAGGGAAGGGCTTCCCACTGGAAAAGTGGAGATTTAGTTGGGATACTGGGAAGGAATTCCTGACTGTGAGGGTGGGGAGGGGCTGGAATGGATTTCCCAGAGAAGCTGTGGCTGCCCCTGGATCCCTGGGAGTGTCCAAGGGCAGGTTGGAGCAACCTGGGCTAGTGGAAGGTGTCCCTGTCCATGGCAGGGGGTGGAATGGGATGATCCTTCAGGTCCCTTCCAGCCCAAACCAGTCTGGAATTCTGTGAGATAATTGTGGGGTTCGGTTTTATTTTAAGCTCCTTTTGGGGCCACGGGCTTAGGGAATAGTGGGAATTAACTCTGGGAATAGAGAAGTGCCCCAATATCCTACCCCCGAATCCCAGGGATCCCAGGTGGGACGGGAGGCTGGAGGGAGCAGTGGTGTCTGTGTCCATCCCTGAGGACATTCCCGGGAAATCAGGAGCTGCACTGGCGTTTTTAGGAAGTCGGGGCTTTGTTTCCTGAAAGGATGGACAAATGTGGGGATAGAATTCCATGTCTGCTCATTCCCAGCTCCTCTCCAGCACCCCTGGAAGCAGCGGCAGCGGGACCCGCCTGCTCCTGTTGGACAGGTTTGATGGGAGGGAGCAAAGAAATCCAAGGGTTTTCCCTCGGCTGGAATTCCCAAGGTGCTGGAATTCCCCGCCTTTTACACCTGCTGTGGCCACATCCCAGCTTTCCTGGCTTGTGTTTGATCCTGGAATGAGCTGATTCCGGAAGGGAACCGCCTTTTCTTTGTACCTGTGAATCCCTTTTTGGTTGGTTTGGTTGGAATTTTGTGGGAAGGGAAATCCTTGAAGTGGTTTCCCACTGGGAGAGGTGAGCACCGGCCACGGGAAGGTGCAGCTGGAGGGGTGGATGGAAAATGGGAATGTGCCTTTGGATGGGACAGGGAATGCAGGATGGCAGTGCCAGCTGGAAAGGATGGATAAAATTCAGGAGGGAGGCCGATGATCCAGGTGGGAATCCGTGGGAAAGCTGAGGGAATGCCTTCCATC